TGTTAAAGGAACGGTATATGTAGAGATTACATTATCAGTATTGACTCTATATACTTGCCACAAAAGGATCAAGATGACTTTAATCAACATTATTGTTATGGATATAATACTGTATACTATGGTTAATTGTTTGATAACACACTTATGTTCAGTTCTTCTACAATCAAGCGTGCGTTTGATATCACAGACTGTTACATCACTAGCCTTTCGTCATTCAGTGTCGTACAGTAGAAGGAACAAGGGAAGCTGTGGTTATTATAAAACAAACACTATGAATCGTGTTCAGTAATATAAACCATAGTTAATATATATATATATATAGAGAGAGAGAGAGTGCGAATAATAGTTATTATGCTTATTATTATACAACAAGCAGGGTGAACCATAGCTACTGTATAAAAAATATATAAACAACAACTAATATAATATAACACATAGGTAATATAAACAGAAGGAAAATCCGATTACTATACAGAAAATAATACAAAATCTAGTTACTATATAGCAAATAATATAAAACTTAATTATTATTCAGCAAACCATAGTTACTAAACAAAGTAAAAGACAAACCACAGTCAATACAAAATACGTGAAGATATAAAAGTCATGGTGATTATGCAGCGGAAGAGATAATCAACAGTCGCTGAACGAAGTAAAAGATAGACCATAGTTCCTATAAAGTGAACAAGATAATCCGTACTCACCTTTAAAAAACAAAGTACGTCATCTTCGATGTACAGCAAAAAGATAAACCGTTGTGGCAAACTACAATACAACAAACAAATAATACAAGGTTGAAGTAGCCAACAATGTGTACAATAGATACTACAAAGTAAACAAGATAAACCATGGTTACCATATAAAGCAAATAAGTCATGGCTAAAAACAGACCAAACAAAAATAAACCGTTTCTTATGGTATATAACTGATGTGAAAGCGAAGCGTTAGTATTATTATTTATGTTGTATTTTCACGCAAAAGTATAATTAAAAAATATCCAAATATATATTTAACTAATACATGTAGTTTGTTTTATATATAGTAAAGTACTATATATGTATATGACATGTTTCTTTGCTGGAAAAATTGCTAAATTAATTGTTTATAAATTAAATACTCTAAGCTTTGGTGGAAGGGTAAACCTAACCATACTTACCTGATAGATTATCATAGAACATTCCTGTAGCTCTCCAACGTACATAATGACGAACAGAGTAAGATCTAATTATTACAGTTCTATATCTATGCGCCATTTCAGATTTCACTTCGGCGTAACTTCACCAATGCCGAACGATTCCGTGAAAGATTTAGTGTGTTAAATTCCACTATTCATTGCAACTTAGAAGTGTAACTTAGATTACAGAATATCTTGGCTAACACATATACAAATATTTGCTATATTTTAATTTTTTAACTAAAATTATTCGGATAAATCTTTCTGATAACATCGCTATGGCAATGAAAGGTGACACCGGTTCCAGAATTCAATTCCGACTAATTTGAACCATTAAATAAAGATTAACAACAACAACAACAACAAAAAAACAACAAAAAAAACGCAGTTTTTGAACCTGCTTTCCTCATTACGCGCTTCCAGTATTATGATGTTATAAGATCAAAACATTATATGAAACGAAAAATCACCAGACACTATAAAATATCTAGCTTTTAAACTGTATTAACTTAAAGTTTCTCAAATGCGTGATTAATTTCCAAACCGCAACATTGTATTCTAGACTACAGAGTGTTAGAAATCACAAAAGTTGAGTACCTTATATTAAAACGATTTTGGAGTCTCACTACATCGTCACAGTCTATGTTTCCATGTCTGATCGTGTTCTATCTGACGACCATGCATTCTGAAAGTAGTGCTTCAGCGTAGATTCAACTGCAAAAGGCTTCGTCGTAAAACCGTCATTTCTAAAGCACTCCCTAACTCCCTATTTGTTCTAAAACAGTCACCTAGTGTATAAAGATGACAATTTGCCAACGCCCTTTTCAACAGTATGATTGCACAGAAATCCATAGGTGACTTGACTGGAATGTTTTTATATAGAATAAAATGGATACACATTTCATTCTCTTGCTGTTTGAGGCATGAGATGCTTGAAGAGATATGTCGTGGAAGCAGCTTGTATACACGTGAGTTGTATTACTTTTCTAGATGGTGATCTCTCTTGATTATCTTGTGTACTATTGCCTGGGACCAGGATTTGCAGTTAGTATCAGTACCGGTACCGAGCCGTCAGTACCGGCGGTACCGGTACTGGTTTATAGGATATCATACGTTGAGAATAATATCTGTTATCACATGTCCTCTCTTCAGAGTTTTCACCGAACGCCTCCTCTGGTATTTCAGCTTCGCTTTTCACAGAATTATAAATGTTTGATGTGGTAGCTTTAAGTTCATACTTCAATCGATAAGCGAATCTTACCGTGAAAATCGGCAATAGCGTGAAATATGGAAAACTGGTGACTCCCACGCTCTGTAAGAGAACGTGAATATGCCTACGTGACTGGTTGCACGTTAAGTTGGTGCGTGCGTGATTAACCCTTAGCATGCGAGCACGTCAAACTGCGCATGTCAGGACGTTTTAGTGAGTTACATTCAAAATTTAATTAAACTACTTAATTTCATGGAATGCGAAAAAACCTGACATCAAACCATAAATAACAAATCAAATTTTGATATTATATAAGTTTTAAATTCTTACTTGTATAGGGAAATATTTAAAAGCAACCTCAAATTCCCTATATTTGTTCTTGAGCCGTCTCCTCTTCTGGATTTGCCCCTCAGTGGCACAGCGGTATGTCTGCGGACTTACAACAAAAGAAACCAGGTTTCAATGCCCATGGTGGGCAGAGAACAGATAGCCCATTGTGTACTAACAAACAAACAGATCTTCTGGATTTTTTGTCTATCTCTAGAAAACTACGAAATGTAACGTAAAATATTCTCTATAATTTCGTCATCGATATTCTGAAGCAATATTTTGATATTCTTCAATCTTATGGTGCTAAGGAGCAATCAATGAAAATTCAGAAACCACTTTCCACGCCTACCTCTAACATGATCTAATCTATAACTTGCTAATAGATTTTTCTGAGGCCGACGCCCATTAAATTTATAACCAATAGAAAGCCTAGATTTCAACTGATTCATTGTCATGGTTTTCATACCATGTGGCTTATATATATAATTGAAAACTTGGTTTGACGTGAAAAATAAAATTCTCAAGAGAACAAACTGGGACTAATAGTTGAATTTGTAACTGCTCAAGTCACATGATTAGAGATGGTCGAGTACCGGTACCGGAAACCTGGTACTGCAGGTACTATTGCAAATCCTGCCTGGGACACATAACGGTTTTTCCACTGACCTTTGTGTTCGTAGATTCCCACCTGTTATAGGATGCCGCACTTTACTTACCACGACTGGGGTACAACTTGTTGTAGGTCTCTTTCTGGATGGCCCTTCCACCTCAAATTCATCCATATTTCTTTCGTTTCTAATACAGTTCAGTGCAAGGGATACCTACTTCTTAGAAATTCTAAATCCCTGATCTGAACACACTTTTATGATTCGAGTGTAAGAATATTTTGCGTAGAAAAGGGCTGTTATATGTCCTTCCCAAAATCGATCATTTTTCAGTGGCATCGTATTACTTACGCAACACCAAGGAATTTATAAATGTAGTTCTGCCACATGCCATTCCATTGTATTTTTATATCGATAGTATTCACCTAACTTACTTATTGCCATATTCAAAATTGTTTTAATATAACGCACTTAATCCTCTGTAGAATCATACAAAATCCCAAGAACTCTGTGAGCGATACGACCAATGAGAATTAGTTCAATCAATAAATTCACAATGGAATAAACATAATGGGTAGAAACAAAATAAAGATCAAGCTAATCTAAAGTGTTTTAAATTTAGCAGGAGAAATATATATATGCTTAGTATCCTGTGAAAATGATAATAATACTTTTTTTTTAAAGAACGATGTATACAGCTCAGATACTCAAAGATCCCATAAAAATAGAAGATTGAATAATTTCAAGTTTTTTTTCATGAAATAAACTAAACAAGCATTATATATAATAATATAAGAAAATTATTGAATTGTTCAAGTTGAGAGAGAATTTTTGAAGATGAGAGACAGTTAATGAATTATTGAATTTAAGAGGGAGAGAATTATTGAATTGTTCAAGTTGAGAGAGACTTTTTGAAGATGAGAGACAGTTAATGAATTATTGAATTTAAGAGGGAGAGAATTATTGAATTGTTCAAGTTGAGAGAGACTTTTTGAAGATGAGAGACAGTTAATGAATTATTGAATTTAAGAGGGAGAGAATTATTGAATTGTTCAAGTTGGGAGAGAATTATATTTTATAGTTACATATTTAGTTGAGGGTATGTACTCAGAAAGGTCATCCCTTCACGTAGAAATAACATTCTTACTAAAAATCGTGGTTATTCTGGAGTAGCAATAACGTATTATTACTGTTCAAAAAGTAATGCAAGCCATGCTCACTAAACAGAGAAAAAGGTGAAAAATGTTTAAGGTACGGGAAACAGTTGGTGGCACTGTTATTGATATTCTTTATGGTACAATGAACTGACCTGACAATGATAAAGTTACCTGCAAGATCTACGAGTAACGAGTTCAAGACGTGATACTATCAAAAACATGCGTTGTTGTTTCAGTTATTTATGCCTTATATTATTGACTTTGAACCCTAATATTCAGTTATATGCAAACTTAACAGAGAAGCGTGGAAATGTAGAATGTTGAATAATTCATTGTAGGCGTTAAAGTGTTAAAAGTTAGCTAAGAGATAAATAATTGTTTCACGCTTATTAGCAATGAATGACAAAAGCTTTTTATTCACAGCTCAGCTATAAACTTGAATTATGTAAGGTTTTTAAACAACATAATCAGCGTGATTTCTTTATTTGGACTTTCAGTTAGGAATAGAAGCACAATGCCACTTTTTTGGAAGCCTTTTCTTGAAATAGAATCGAATCATGCTGGTAATGTATATTACATATTGTGTTTAGAATCCTTATATGTCGATCTTCAACGAACATGTATAATTTGCACTCTTTTCTCACGCTTATAGGTTTGCTGATCATATTCCTTTCCTATGTATTGAAGATTCGTTTTTGTTTCGTTAGTTTGCAATCGACGAGGAACGAGGCCAAGAGGGGGAGTTTCCACTTTCCCTTTTCTTTAGGTTTTGGCATTCCAAAAATGATTAACTTGTACAGACCAACACGGTATGGCAGAACTGTGAAAGTAACTCGGTTGTCATAATCCTCTTGGACAAGAACCCCTTTCAAGTCTAGTTCAATACCATTCGCATCAAACATCTGGGGTGTTATGATCATCGGCGTGTTTAATTCTAGCGTCAGTTTCCGTCGACCGCCCCACGTTACGATGGTGGGCCCTGATTGGTTGATTAATTTCATGTTGAAATTAAAGAAACTTTGTGTTGGGCCCCAAGGAACTTCGTTTAGTGGATAAGGTTGGATGTACTTTTTTGCTCGCACACATTCTATAAGAAATATCACGACAGCATGAAGGCTAGCGTCTTCACTTGTATCGTTTTCTGGCTTGGCGTACACTTTGAGGTAGTATCTGCCCTCTATAGGCGGAATGATGACGAACGAGCCTATTAAGCGATCTTCTTTGAGTTGACAGAAAACGTATTTGTTGAATGAAGAGTTTTCCAGCTCTTCAGCAGGATACATTTTAAACTTGTAACGAACAGGTTCATGAGCTCCCAACTTGACTTCGGTTTGCACTTTACACAATACTGGGTTTTGCACACAGGATCGTATTTTGAGATTGTACTGTAAGAAAAATGGCGTCACCTTAGGCAAAGTATTAAACTGTTCCAGAGTTATAGGCTTGTCTAACAGTTGCCATCTGAAAAACATAAATTCGAATTAATTTTTCATATTTTAAAATGTTTCATTTGCATAATCAAAAAGCTGCATAGAACTATCTACTGGCTTCTTGTACACTTCAAAAACAAAATATTAATCGGCAGCAAGTTTTTTATAAGTATTATGCATATGAATCCAAACACACGTTTCCAAAATGATCGTAAAATATCTATGTGTAACTTTATTAAGAAATACCATATGTATGTCGTATAAGTGTACATAGATATTAGAAGAAATCCAATGACAGTTTTTACATATGGAGTTATTAGATTTCTCATGTTTGAGAACATTCAGTACACATTTCATATTTAAATTAAAAAGTTAATATTTTTCTCTGAATAGCAACGAGATAAATGTTTTCATTTAGGAATAATCTGGTAACTACATGAATGCTTAGAATAGGGAGAAAAATATTTTGATGTTTAGGTTGTTCAGGAAGACATTCTTATGTTTAGAGTAAGCCGATAGGTGCTTTCATACAGTAAATGTTTTTATGCCTTAATTAAGCTGGTTGTTACCTTACTTATGTTTAAAATTTTAATGCCAAGAACACTCAGAAATAAAACTGATGATGAAATAACAGAAGATAGGCTGGTTACCTGCTGCAGTTATCCTCATTTTACTGTGGTGTTATGATAATTAAGGATGGTGATGGAATTACAGAGATTATAGACTGGTTACCTACTGTAGTTATCATCTATCTTACTGTGGTGTTATGATAACTAAGGATGGTGATGGAATTACAGAGATTATAGACTGGTTACCTGCTGTAGTTATCATCTATCTTACTGTGGTGTTATGATAACTAAGGATGGTGATGGAATTACAGAGATTATAGACTGGTTACCTGCTGTAGTTATCATCTATCTTACTGTGGTGTTATGATAACTAAGGATGGTGATGGAATTAGAGAGATTATAGACTGGCTACCTGATTTAGTTATCCTTCATCTTACTGTGGTGTTATGATAACTAAGGATGGTGATGGAATTAGAGAGATTATAGACTGGCTACCTGATTTAGTTATCCTTCATCTTACTGTGGTGTTATGATAACTAAGGATGGTTATGGAATTACAGAGATTATAGACTGGTTACCTGCTGCCATCCTTAGTTATCATAACAGTCTATAATCTCTGTAATTCCATAAGGTTACCTGCTTTAGTTATCCTTCATCTTACCGTGGTGTTATGATAACTAAGAATAATGATGGTATTAGAGAGATTATAGGCTGGTTACCTGCTGTAGTTATCATTATCTTATTGTGGTGTTATTAGAACTAAAGATGGTGATGGAATTATAGAGAATATAGACTGGTTACCTGCTGTAGTTATCCTCCATCTCACTATATGGGAAGTGGGACCAGATTAAGTCTTCAGGATCCGTTAGAAAGAAATATTCCTTCATTTTTCTCTGAAATTTCCCCGTGTGGTCAAGGTATCCTGAAAAAGGAAATATATTCGTTCATTAAGAGATTCCTAAGGGCGTTGCCAACTATTAAGAGGAAATATTCAAACTCCTTACTGTCAAGAATAAGTAATTAGGTTAACAAGAGAAAGTCTATTGTTTGAAGCAGCAAAATAATTAAAACTTGTTGGAGAAATGCCAAGGGCAACATGTTAGTCCTAAAACAAAATTGAGAAAAAAATAGTTAAAAAGTGTGAAAAGTAACTTGTCAGTTTCCCTAGAAATTAGTCAATAAATAATGATCCAATTTAAGTCATTAAAAGTCTTATTGTAATGTAATACAATGCACATATTGCTATTAAATGTCACGTTCCTTTAGCTAAGCCACTCTACATGTCAATTCGTAGCCAAGTGTTGTAAAACGTTTCATATAATCTAGTTACAACCCAACGAAAAGTGTCTCTTCGATTTATTTGGAATAATAGACATGACTAACGTAATTACTGTGTTCTTAAAAATATCTGGTTTAAAAAATTTGAATATAACGATTTTAGTATGAGCTTGAAAATATTCGATCATAAAGTGGCTTTCAAATATAATTGCCTTAGCCAATTTGAATTGCAATTTAAGAGATATTAAGATTTAACGTTCTTGGAACAACCTGAGCTGGCACTGAAACATATCAATTTTAAGAGAGACCACAAAAGTTAATGGTATTAAGGTAACCTTAAACCATAAATCTTTGAAAGACCTGGAAATAAAGAAGTGTGAGAGTAACTTTGAAGTATAACAGAGTTAGTGTGAAATTATTAGGGAGGCTTGGAATACAACAGTCGTTTAATGACTTTGATATAAAATTACGTTAGGTCTACCTTGAAACTTAACTGTTAGAGTGATCTAGAATTGTTTAATACGAAATTTCGGTAATCAAGTTGTATAGACTTCAAAAGAATTTCGAAATACCATTACAGCAAACAAACTGTATTTATTAATTTTACAGGAGTGACTTTCCTCCTGCTCAGTAAGAAAATTTCAAAAGAACCACAACGTAACAGCCGGTCATCAAAAAAAAATGCCATGACAACAGTTTCTATACATGAGTTTGTTTATCGAATAACCTCCTGTTTCTCGAAAGTCGGTAAATATTGACAGTCACTGCCTTTTGTCTGTAATAATAATGTCTTAAAATGTAAGAACCAGTTTGTTAACTTACTTAATTCTTGAAATATTGTTTATAGTAATCTTATTAGAACTAACGAATATCTTAATCATTCAGAACTCTATACTGGGTGAAAATATAATTATTTTTCCTAGAAATTATACCGTAGATCTGTGTAGAAATGTTACTAAGCTATAAATACCGTTTGAAATGGATAAACTATTACATAGTATACATTCAAGTGCTACATATACATTTCTTCTCCTATCTTTTACCTAAGCAAAATATCTAAATACCTTTCACATCTTTCTGGAATAAACCTCAGACTTTGAAATTAGTTTTTCGCGTAAAATATGAAGTTCACAAATTTAAGTACACACAATTAATCAAAAACAAAGATAGCTGTTATTATTCCATTTAAAGTTGGTGAAAATAGTATTAAATATAAATGAAACACTAAAATCAACTTCTGACCTTCATTTGTTTTAGATACTTTCTTCTACTCATTGAAT